TTTTGGGTAAAGGTGCCGCCGCAAGGCCACAGCCGACCCCAATTCCCTTCTTCCCCGAGTTGCATGTGGAGCTGACGCGCGCTTGGAGGGCTCCTTTGACCTCACGAGAGCACGCTCCAGCTTCCCCCGCCTTTCCTCCCCTCGACGGTGTGGCTGCCCGTGGGTACGCTGGGATTCCCCCGGTGGAGCGCTCTGTTGCGATGCAACTGTGTCCACAGAGCGCCTCCTCCCGTGGGACTCCTAAGCACCCATCCAAGGCCTGTAGGTTCTCGTCTATGGCGGCACGTTCCTATAGAGCGGCGGGACAGGCGGCCGCCGCTTTGCATCCCATGAGCACTTTGCAAGTTTTTCAAGCCAAACTGCTCAGAGACATGCACGAGGGCGGGACTGACCCAACGGCTTTTGACGAGCTGCGAGCTGCCACTGACCTTGCTCTCCGGGCGACGAAAGTGGCCGCTCGCTCCGTTGGGCAGGTGATGGCCACTAGCGTGGTCCAGGAGCGACACCTATGGCTCAACCTGGCAGACACAAAGGACGCCGAGCGGACACGTCTGCTCGACGCCCCCCTCTCCCAGGCTGGCCTGTTCGGCGGTGCGGTCGAAGACTTCGCCCAGCAGTTTTCGACCACCCAGAAGCAGACGAAGGCCATTAAACACATCCTGCCCCGACGGTCAGCTGCTGCGTCTCACCAGCCGTCGGCACAGACGCCTCCCTCTGCTCGCCGCCGAGGACGCCCCCCTGTGGCTCCCCTCCCTCCCCCGCGTCTCCAGCAGCAGCCTTCATCCGGGACGCGGCGTGGAGGAGGCCGCAGGCAGGCGTCGCAGCCCCCTCAGGCCGCGCGCCCCGCTAAACGCCAGGCGAAGCGGCGTCCCTGAGACGGGCTACTCAGTGATGACGTCGAGTGTTTCACGAGAGGTGGTAGCAGGCCCCCTCCTTCCCCCGGTGGAGGGCCGGGGGAGAATCTTTTGTTCTCAGCTCCCCGCTGCTCACCCACGGGTGGGCAGCACCCTGAGTTGGTTAAAGAAAGACTTGACATCATCACTGAGCACACAGACTGGAATGAGTACGCTCGTCACCCCAGCGCGTCGACCCTCTCATTCCTCTCTGTCTCTGAGGGTGCGGAAGGGAGCGTGTGTCGTCCCTCGACTACACCACTCCCCTCCCCCTCTATCGCCAGACCCCCGGCAGAACAGACCCCCGTGGAACGCACGTCCTTCCCTGGTCTCTTCTGTCGGGGAACGGGGCTCGACTGTGCATCCGCACGGGGTAACTCCCGAGCGCATGCCGGTCTCCCCGCCCCGCTGCCCCTCCGGGGGGACGTCTGTAGTTCGCATGACCCCGCTGGTTCATTTCCTGGGAGATTGGCTAGAGCTCCCCGGGCTGTCCCGCTGGGTCATCAGAACGATCAGATTCGGCTACGCGATTCAGTTCGCACAGTCTCCTCCCCGTTTCAGGGGAGTTCGCTTCACTATGGTTGGTGGTAATGCCCCGGTCATGAGAGCGGAAATTGCAACCCTGCTGGCGAAGGGTGCAATCGAGACGGTCCCTCCAGCCGAGGTGAGGTCCGGGTTTTACAGCCCCTACTTCATTGTCCCCAAGAAGACCGGTGGGTTACGACCGATCCTGGATCTGCGCATTTTGAACCGTACTCTCCATCGACTACCGTTCAAAATGCTCACAGCCAAACGCATTTTCGAATGCATTCGGCCTCAGGATTGGTTTGCAGCGATCAACCTGAGGGACGCGTACTTTCATGTCTCCATATTGCCGCGACACAGACCGTTTCTCCGGTTTGCTTTCGAAGGCCAGGCATATCAGTACACGGTTCTCCCATTCAGGTTAGCTCTGTCCCCTCGCGTCTTCACGAAGATCGTCGAGGCAGCCCTTGTTCCCCTTCGCGAACACGGGGTTCGCATCCTGAACTATCTCGACGATTGGCTGATACTGGCACACTCTCGAGAACAGGTTTGTGAACACAGAGACCTGGTGCTCCAGCACCTAGCCCGTCTGGGCCTTCGGGTCAACCGGGAGAAGAGCAAACTTTACCCCGTGCAGAGGATCTCTTTTCTCGGCATGGAGATAGACTCGGTCGCCATGTCCGCGCAGCTCACGAACGAGCGCACGCACTCACTGCTGACTTGTCTTCGACAGTTCGAGGGCAAGAGTGCGGTCCCACTGAAACTTTTTCAGAGGCTCCTGGGGCATATGGCATCCGCAGCCGCGGCAACGCCGCTCGGATTGCTTCATATGAGACCGTTTCAGCTGTGGCTTCGCGATCGAGTCCCGAGGTGGGCATGGCATCGCGGCTCGCTCCGAGTTCCAGTGACTCCAGCGTGTCGCCGAACCTTCTTCCCGTGGTCGAACCTCAGCTTTTTACGGGCCGGTGTCCCGCTTCAGCGAGCTTCCAGGCATCTCGTTGTCTCCACGGATGCATCTACCACGGGTTGGGGTGCCATGTGCAATGGGCATGCAGCCGCAGGTTCCTGGACAGGACCCCAGCGCCTCATGCACATCAATTGCCTCGAGCTGCTGGCAGTACGCCTGGCCCTGCACCGCTTTCGAGCACTGCTCAGGGGTCAACACGTACTTGTCCGTTCAGACAACACCGCTACAGTAGCGTACATCAACCACCAGGGTGGCCTACGCTCATGTCGGTTGTCGCAGCTCGCCCGCCACCTCCTGCTATGGAGTCAGAAGCACCTGAGGTCCCTTCGTGCAGTGTACATTACAGGAGACCGGAACCTGGTGGCCGACGAGCTGTCACGGGTCCGCCCTATCTCCGGCGAATGGCGACTCCATCCCCAGACGGTTCAGCTGATTTGGGACCAGTTCGGGGAGGCACAGATAGATCTGTTTGCCTCCCGGGACTCATCCCACTGCGCCCAGTTTTACTCCCTGTCCGAGGGCACTCTCAGCACAGATGCACTGGTGCAGAGCTGGCCGCGGGGCCCACGCAAGTATGCGTTTTCCCCAGTGAGCCTTCTTGCACGGGTGTTGTGCAAGATCAAGGAGGACGAGGAGCAGGTCTTGCTGGTAGCCCCCTATTGGCCCACCAGGACTTGGTTTTCCGAACTCATCCTCCTCGCGACAGCACCTCCTTGGCCTATTCCTCTGAGACAAGACCTACTCACTCAGAGACGGGGCACTCTGTGGCACCCTCGTCCCGATCTCTGGAGGCTGCACGTGTGGCTCCTGGACGGGACGAGGCAGGTTTGAGTTCGCTGCCACCTGCGGTGGCGGCAACCATCACTTCCGCTAGAGCGTCGTCCACGAGACACCTTTATGCGTTGAAGTGGAACCTCTTCGTCAACTGGTGCTCTTCTCGCGGAGAAGACCCCCGGAGATGTTCGATCGGTGTCGTGCTTTCCTTCCTGCAGGAAGGGTTGGAGCGTAGGCTGTCGCCCTCCACCCTTAAGGTTTACGTCGCGGCCATTGCCGCGTCTCATGACGCAGTGGAAGGTAAGTCCATCGGAAAGCACGACCTGGTCATCAGGTTCCTGAGGGGAGCGAGGAGGCGAAATCCGCCTCGTCCTCTCCTCGTGCCCTCTTGGGACCTCTCAGTAGTTCTAAGTGCTCTGCAGAGGCCTCCCTTTGAGCCTTTGCAATCGGTAGAGTTAAGTTCTGTCCTATGAGGACAGCACTCCTGGTTGCATTGGCCTCCATCAAGAGGGTAGGGGACCTGCACGCATTCTCCGTTGACGAAGCGTGCCTGGAGTTCGGGCCGGCTTACTCTCACGTGATCTTGAGACCCCGGCCTGGATTTGTGCCCAAGGTTCCTACCACTCCCTTCCGGGACCAGGTGGTGAACCTGCAAGCACTGCCCCTGGAGGAGGCAGACCCAGCCTTGGCACTGCTCTGTCCAGTACGTGCTCTTCGCACCTACGTCGACAGAACGCGGTGTTTCAGGACCTCAGACCAGCTCTTTGTCTGTCATGGGGGGAGCCAGAAGGGAAGGGCTCTCTCAAAGCAACGGCTGTCTCACTGGATAGTGGATGCCATTGCTTTGTCTTACCAGCAGCAAGGCCGTCCGTGCCCCCTTGGTGTGACGGCCCATTCCACTCAGAGTGTGGCCTCCTCTTGGGCTCTAGCGCATGGCGCCTCGCTAACAGACATCTGCAGAGCTGCAGGCTGGGCGACACCAAACACCTTCGCCAGATTCTACAATCTGCGAGTTGAGCCGGTGTCCTCTCACGTACTCGCTTCCGCCAGTACTGGACCCACCTAGGTGTCTTCGCTTGCTCGCCATTCCACTCCTCGGATTGGATAAGTGCGATATTTCTCAGTAGTCTTCCGTTGAAGCCTTGAGTCCTCCAGCACCGACGATGCGGGCACCACTGCTGTTGCTCTGGATGCCGGCTAGTTTCTGGATGCGCTTTGTTTCCCGCCGGATCGAAAATAAACGCGACACTGACGCCCCCCGGAAATCCGATAAAATTCAAGCAATCAGATGACGACTTCGACATTCCTGAAGTGTTTCCAGTTAAGTGTACCATATGCATCAGACGTTTAGCCAACATTCCGTGGACGTGACGTCTGAGGCTGAGACTAGGTCGGGCTTGACTTTTGGGTCACACTTACAGTTGAACACACTTAGTTATTTTCTGCTATTGGTATGAAAACTTTTTCTCTCAAACATTTTTTTTCTCTCAGATAATTTATTTTCTCGCATGTAATAAAGACACAATCCTAGCTCCATAGACAATAACTTTATTATACAGCTTCCGTAAAGTCAAATAATCTGTTAATTTAATATTCTATTATCACTGTAAAGCTGCTTTGAAACAATCTTGTTAAAAGCACTATATAAATGAAGGTGACTTGACTTGTCATACTTCTCAACTCTGAAAATATGGACATCTGTATAAATATGGGGAAAAAATCCCATTCCTGCAAATGTTGTTTCGTCTCTTGTTCTGGCATTCCATAAGAGCAGATGCCACATTCTGTGACTAAATCATTTATTGTGATAGTATTTCATTAATTATTTAACAAACATTTACCTCAGTATCTCCAGCTGACAGTCTGGGCTCTTCAGTCCATCAGAAAGAAGCTTCACTCCTGAATCCTGCAGGTCATTGTTATTCAGGTCCAGCTCTCTTAGGAAGGAGTTTGAGGATTGAAGAACTGAAGACAAACTCTCACAACACTGAGCAGTGAGATTGCAGCTATGTAGCCTGTGAAGAGAAGAAAACAGCAGTAATGCAATAGTAATGTTTATTAGGTTGGGTTTATAATAATTTGGAAAAACATTTGACTGAAGGGATGTAAGCAAAAGGGATGCACTGATATCACCGGTATCGGGCCCGATACTGCACTCGTGTACTCATACTCAAAAAAATGATCCCATACCAAAAACCGATACCAGGAAGCATGTAACACTGCAGAATAACACTGACAACAGAGTAGAATGGGAATAAAAAAGAAGGCAGTCTATTTAGTAAATATATCTAATTTGTGGAGTATTAAACAGAATATAGAAACGCCTATATAGCTGTAGTGTGCACGCTAATAAGAGAAAAACCCACAGTTGCACAGTAGCGCCAGCTTGATGAGAGCATCTCTTTTCCACTAACGTCAGCGGAAAGTTTGTAGTTCAGTTAGATGTCAATGGCAAAGAAGGTAAAACGAGACATGTAGCTTATTAATAACATTAACTGGTGAGAGAGAGCGCACTTATGTTGCACGCTATTAATCGTTCACTCAGCACACGAGTTATTTGGATTCAAGTAAAACATCAACTGTGGTCCCCTATATTATTACAGGATGTCTTCAAGTCAAGAAGTTTCATGAAAGCAAACATCTAAAGCGTGCGTCCCAAACACTGCGTCTCAGTGTTTGCTGCTGTCTCTGACAGTTTGAGAATATTTAATTGAATTTTTTTCACGTCTAGTTCAGACAAATTCATACAACATAATGTAAAAACGCTTGTCTGGGTAAGTATCCTAGTAAACTTAGATGGTTTTATCTCAACTGCACGTAGACAGTATATTCAGATGGGATCCGTGCACTCGGTCATAAAGAGGCAGCAGTCTAAGGCCTCGTTTACACTGCATGGTTCAAGTGACCCAAATCCAATTTTTTCCTCTCATGTGGCACAGATCGGATATGACCGGTAAACGTGTAAGCAGGAAAAAACGCATGGATTCCGATTTCGGATTCAGGCCTCATTCATATGTGGTAATAAATCGGATATGAATCAGGTACGTGCATTTGCGTGTGCATGTAAGCAGACAAATCGGATATTCCCCAGTAAATGCGAGTCATGCGTCATTAAAAACTGCGCGATTATAGGCGCGAGCCGCGCGATGGAAGAAAGGATACACACAGTGGAGCAATGCGGAGGTTTCATGTCTTTTGAGTGTTTGGGGTGAAGAGTGCAAGCAAAAAATGCAGGGTTGTTACAGAAATAAGTCCGTTTTTGAAGACATTTCATGAGACATGAGGCATCGTGCAACCTTGAGGCGGATGGGCTACGACAGCAGAAGACCCCACCGGGTACCACTCATCGAGGCTACAATTTGCAAGAGCTCACCAAAATTGGACAGTTGAAGACTGGAAAAAATGTCGCCTGGTCTGATGAGTCTCGATTTCTATTGAGACATTCAGATGGTAGAGTCAGAATTTGGCGTAAACAGAATGAGAACATGGATCCATCATGCCTTGTTCCCACTGTGCAGGCTGGTGGTGGTGTAATGGTGTGGGGGATGTTTTCTTGGCACACTTTAGGCCCCTTAGTGCCAGTTGGGCATTGTTTAAATGCCACGGCCTACCTGAGCATTGTTTCTGACCATGTCCATCCCTTTATGGCCACCATGTCCCCATCCTCTGATGGCTACTTCCAGCAGGATAATGCACCATGTCACAAAGCTCGAATCATTTCAAAATGGTTTCTTAAACAGGACAATGAGTTGACTGTACTAAAATGGCCGCCACAGTCACCAGATCTCAACCCAATAGAGCATCTTTGGGATGTGGTGGAACGGGAGCTTCGTGCCCTGGATGTGCATCCCACTAATCTCCATCAACTGCAAGATGCTATCCTATCAATATGGGCCAACATTTCTAAAGAATGCTTTCAGCACCTTGTTGAATCAATGCCTCATAGAATTAAGGCAGTTCTGAAGGCCAAAGGGGGTCAAACACAGTATTAGTATGGTGTTCATAATAATCCTTTAGGTGAGAGAGACACAGAGCCTATAATAAGTTTTTAGAAATATTCACAACTTTACATGATAAGCACTGCCCCATTTTAGTTCTCTAAAGTCTAAATGTCCCCGGATGACTAAAGGCCTACAAAATTCATGTAAAAAGAAAAATAATCGACATAAATTATCCATTAAATCGAAAACAAAAGAAGCTGAGAAGTATAAGTTATACAAAAATAAGTTAACTGTTGTTAATTGTTGTAATTGTTAATTGTGACAATTAAAAGATTAGTATATGGAGATTTACTTGAAAGAAGGGAGGATAGTAATAGTATCATGGATGCACCAATTACAATGGAAGAAATGAGAAGGGCAATAAAAGGATCTGGATTAACATCTCCAGGTAAAGATGATATCTGTTATGTAATGATAGAACATCTAGGTGTTTTAGCCTCTACAAAGTTGCTACGGTTTTTTTAATAAAGTATGGGATTTAGGGAAATTGCCAGCTAGGTGAAAAGAAGCAGTAATTATTCCTATCAGTATTTGTAAATGTATAATTCGTAGCCTGGTTTATATAACATTTAAAATCAATTGCTGTGTCCGAAATCTCCACTCAAACCACTACTCCCTACCCCCTATGTTGGAGGTAGAGAGCAGAGCACTATATAGTGAGCTCACCAGCATAATAGAAACACCACTTTCGGACACTACTCGATCGTCTCTCGGCGCCGTTGATTACATCATCCGTCAGCAGGTTCCGAGCCGGCCCTTGGCTAAATAGATTTTTAAAAATAAATAAATTACATTTTATTGAGGTTATTTCTCCAAAATTTAAAAACTAAAAGTGATTTCTGGCAGTTTTTGTTATAATGCGCGACTCCACACATGATTATAACTTATTTTTACGATCGGTGCAATGCATGATGGTATGTAGGGCTTAGTTTAGTGACCATCGGTTGTACACTACTTTTCAAAATGCATTCTGGGATACATTGAGTTGACTATATAGGGTATAATAATCATCACTATACATTTGGACAGCACTACAAAATGACGAGCTCACTATATAGTCCACTATATAGTGAGTAATGGGTGATTTCGGACACAGCAAATGAAAATCATTTTTTAAGGCTATTGACAGTATATTCTGATTTACAGGATAACAAAAGTAGACATCCACTAATCCCTCAGTAATTTTAAGAAAGAGTAGTATATGACGGTACGTGACAAACCAAAATGTATTGTTTGTTCAGAATTGGGTGTAGTAAAGGAGTAAATTACCACAATTTTGAGAGATGTGTAAGATCACGATGAACTGTCAGCTTTTTAGGAATTATTATGGGAGCACACTTTGCACACATTCAGTAAGGCCAAACCATACACTCAGTAGCCTGCTTGTTTTATGATATAATAGTGGTTCCCTTTCGTAGTCACTTCGAGTTACGTCAGAAGTGAGGGAGATTGGGGGTTTCGCATAGAAAGCCAATCCTCTTCGAGTATTTAATCACGAGCCAATGGCATGAAATGCCTTGGGGCTGCGGAAATTTGCAGATCAACGTCGCCGTGTCTGATCCCGCGATGACGGCCATGCTATCTCGGGCCTCCGTAAGCATCGGGTGGGAGTGGAACTCCGCCCTGTCCCGATCTCTCGCAGCTGGATAATTGGTTTTTGGGTAACGCTGCCGCCTCACGGCCACAGCCAACCCCAATTTCCTTTTTCCCCGAGTTGCATGCGGAACTGACACGCACTTGGGTGTCCCCCCGAGAGCGTGCTTCAGTTTCCCCGCCTTTCCTCCCCCTCGGCGACGCGGTTGCCTGTGGGTACGCTGGGACTCCCCCGGTGGAGCGCTCTGTTGCGATGCAGCTGCGTCCGCAGAGCGCATCCTCCCGCGGTGCTCCCAGATGCCCATCCAAAGCCTATAGGTTCTCGTCGTCTATGGCGGCGCGATCCTGTAGAGCGGCGGGACAGGCAGCCTCCGCCCTGCATATGATGAGCACCTGCTAGCTGCTCAGGAATGTGCACGAGGAGGGGACGGACCAAGCGAGCTGCGAGCCTGCTGCCTACCTTGCTCTCAAACGGGCGACGGAAGCGGCCGCTCGCTCCCTTGGTCAGGTGATGCCCACCACTGTGGTCCAGGAGCATCATCTAAATGTTTCGGCGGTGCGGTCCAGGACTTTGCCCAGCAGTTCTTGACTGCCTAGGAGCAGACGGAGGCAGGTTTACACTTCTGCCCCAACGGCCAGCTGCTGCCTCCACCCAGCCGTCGACTCAGACGCCTCCGCCTGCTCGCTGCCGAGGACGCCCCCCTGCGGCCCCCTTCCCTCCCACGCGGCCCCAGCAGCGGCCTTCAGCCGGTTCGCGTCGTGGAGTTGGCCACAGGTAAGCGTCACAGCCCCCTCAGGCCGCGTGCCCCACTAACGCCAGGCGAAGCGATGTTCCTGAGACGGGCTGCTCAGTGATAGTGTCACGGTTTTTCACAGGAGGCGGTAGCAGGGCCCGTCCTTCCCCCGGTGGAAGGCCGGTGGAGAATATTTTGTTCTAGCTAGCTCCTCGCTGCTCACCCACGAGTGAGCAGCGCCTTGAGCTGGTTGAAGAAAAACTGACACTATCATTGAGCACACAGACTGGAATTAACGCGCACGACGTTCCAGTGCGTCGCCCCGCTCATTCCTCTCTGTCTCTGAGGGTGCGGAAGGGAGCGTGTGTCGTCCCTCGACTACACCACTCCCCTCCCCCTCTATCGCCAGACCCCCGGCAGAACAGACCCCCGTGGAACGCACGTCCTTCCCTGGTCTCTTCTGTCGGGGAACGGGGCTCGACTGTGCATCCGCACGGGGTAACTCCCGAGCGCATGCCGGTCTCCCCTCCCCGCTGCTTCTCCGGGGGGACATCTGTGGTTCGCATGACTCCGCTGGTTCAGTTCCTGGGAGCTTGGCTAGAGCTCCCCGACCTGTCCCGCTGCGTCATCAGAGCGATCAGATTCGGCTACGCGACTCAGTTTGCACGGTCTCCTTCCCGTTTCAGGGGAGTTCGCTCCACGGTGGTCGGTGGCAATGCCCTGATCATGAGAGCGGAGATTGCGACCCTGCTGGCGAAGGGTGCAATCGAGACGGTCCCTCCAGCCGAGGTGAGGTCCGGGTTTACAGCCCCTACTTCACTGTCCCCAAGAAGACCGGTGGGTTACGACCGATCCTGGATCTGCGCATTTTGAGCCATACTCTCCATTGACTACCGTTCAAAATGCTCACAGCCAAATGCATTTTCGAATGTGTCCGGCCTCAGGATTGGTTTGCAGCGATCGACCTGAAGGACGCGTACATTCATGTCTCCATTTTGCCCCGACACAGACCGTTCTCGGTTTGCCCCGAGGCCAGCCATCAGTACACGGTTCTCCCTTTCGGGTTAGCTCTGTCATCTCGCGTCTTCACGAAGATCGTCGAGGCAGCCCTTGTTCCCCTTCGCAGACACGGGGTTCGCATCCTGAATTATCTCGACGATTGGCTGATACTGGCACACTCTCGAGAACAGCTTTGCGAACACAGAGAACTGGTGCTCCGGCACCTAGCCCGTCTGGGCCTTCGGGTCAACCGGGAGAAGAGCAAACTTTGCCCCGTGCAGAGGATCTCTTTTCTCGGCATCGAGATAGACTCGGTCGCCATGTCCGCGCAGCTCACGAATGAGCATGCGCACTCACTGCTGACTTGTCTTCGACAGTTCGAGGGAAAGAGTGCGGTTCCACTGAAACTTTCAGAGGCTCCTGGGGCATATGGCATCCGCAGCCGCGGCAACGCCGCTCGGATTGCTTCATATGAGACCGCTTCAGCTGTGGCTTCGCGATTGAGTCCCGAGGTGGGCATGGCATCGCGGCTCGCTCCAAGTTCCAGTGACTCCAGCGTGCCGCCAAACCTTCTCCGTGGTCGAACCTCAGCTTTTTACGGGCCGGTGTCCCTCTTCAGCGAGTTTCCAGGCATCTCGTTGTCTCCACGGATGCATCTACCACGGGTTGGGGTGCCATGTGCAATGGGCATGCAGCCGCGGGTTCCTGGACAGGACCCCAGCGCCTCATGCACATCAATTGCCTCGAGCTGCTGGCAGTACGCCTGGCCCTGCACCACTTTCGAGCACTGCTCAGGGGTCAACACGTACTTGTCCGTTCAGACAACACCGCTGCAGTAGCGTACATCAACCACCAGGGTGGTCTACGCTCACGCCGGTTGTCGCAGCTCGCCCGCCACCTCCTGAAATGGAGTCAGAAGCACCTGAGATCCCTTCGTGCAGTGTAAATTCCAGGAGACCGGAACCTGGCGGCCGACGAGCGGCCACGGGTCCGCCCTATCTCCGGTGAATGGCGACTCCATCCACAGATACCTTTGTTCGCCTCCCGGGACTCATCCCACTGCGCCCAGTTTTATTCCCTGTCCGAGGGCACACTCGGCACAGATGCACTGGCGCACAGCTGGCCGCGGGGCCCACGCAAGTATGCGTTTTCCCCAGTGAGCCTTCTTGCACGGGTGTTGTGCAAGATCAAGGAGGACGAGGAGCAGGTCTTGCTGGTAGCCCCCTATTGGCCCACCAAGACGTGGTTCTCCGAACTCATGCTCCTCGCGACAGCACCTCCTTGGCCTATTCCTCTGAGACAAGATCTACTCACTCAGAGACGGGGCACTCTGTGGCACCCTCGTCCCGATCTTGGAGGCTACACGTGTGGCTCCTGGACGGGACGGGGCAGGTTTGAGTTCGCTGCCACCTGCGGTGGCGGCAACCTCACTTCCGCTAGAGCGTCGTCCACGAGACACCTGTACGCGTAGAAGTTGAACCTCTTCATCAACTGGTGCTCTTCTCGCGGAGAAGACCCCCGGAGATGTTCAATCGGGGTCGTGCTTTCCTTCCTGCAAGAAGGGTTGGAGCGTAGGCTGTTGCCCTCCACCCTTAGGGTTCATGTCGCGGCCGTTGCCGCGTCTCATGATGCAGTGAAAGGTAAGTCTATGGGAAGCATGACCTGGTCATCAGGTTCCTGAGGGGAGCGTGGAGGCGAAATCCGCCTCACCCTCCCCTCGTGCCCTCTTGGGACCTCTCAGTAGATATAAGTGCTCTGCAGAGGCCTCCCCTTGAGCCTTTGCAATCGGTAGAGTTAAGTTCTGTCCTATGAGGACAGCACTCCTGGTTGCATTGGCCTCCTTCAAGAGGGTGGGGGACCTGCACTCATTCTCCGTTGACGAAGCGTGCCTGGAGTTTCGGGCCGGCTTACTCTCACGTGATCTTGAGACCCCGGCCTGGATATGTGCCCAAGGTTCTCACCACTCCCTTCCGGGACCAGGTGGTGAACCTACAAGCGCTGCCCCTGGAGGAGGCAGACCCAGCCTTGGCACTGCTCTGTCCAGTACGTGCACTCCGCACCTACGTCGACAGAACGCGGTGTTTCAGGACCTCAGACCAGCTCTTTGTCTGTCATGGGGGGAGCCAGAAGGGAAGGGCTCTCTCAAAGCAACGGCTGTCTCATTGGATAGTGGACGCCATTGCTTTGTCTTATCAGCAGCAAGGTCGACCGTGCCCCCTTGGTGTGACGGCCCATTCCACTCGGAGTGTGGCCTCCTCTTGGGCTCTAGCGCACGGCGCCTCGCTAACAGACATATGCAGAGCTGCAGGCTTGGCGACACCAAACACCTTCGCGAGATTCTATAATCTGTGAGTCGAACCGGTGTCCTCTCACGTACTCGCTTCCGCCAGTACTGGGCCCGCTTAGGTGTCTTCGCTTGCTCACCATTCCACTCCTCGGACTGGATAAGTGCGATATTCCTCAGTAGTCTTCCGTTGAAGCCTTGAGTCCTGCAGCACCCATGATGCGGGCACCACTGCTGTTGCTCTGGATGCCGGCTAGGTGCCTCCATGTGCACGGTTCCCTATGGTAACTGTCTCATGTGTATTTTCCACTGTAAGCCTCTCTGAGCATGTGTCTTCCCTTGGCAAGCCATCTGCCACCCCTGGAGTTAATTCTAGTAACCACCTGCGGTTGGTGCTCCAGTGATCTCCATATGCGTCCCTATGCGGCCATATGTGTATTCGTAAGTCCTCCCTACGGTAGGCATCTGGTAGCATGTCCCTCCCGGGATATGTTTCCCAGTGTACCTTGGTATTCCTGTGTCAAAGTAGGATCTCCTGGTGATACCTAGGTTCAGGGGTCTAGACTTTCGCAGGGCACTGGAAGACAGCTGTAAGATGGCGTGATGGCATTGACCCCCAATCTCCGTCACTTCTGACGTAACTCGAAGTGACTACGAAAGGGAACGTCTCGGTTACGGATGTAACGGAGGAATGTTACGTCTCCCTGCCACTTTTGCTGTACCGCTGGGTAGAACCTGAGTTCAGTCTTGGCTCCTCAGCGAAGACATACTGCGGTTGCGTTCACTTCCTCCTTTTATACTCACGGAGGGCGGAGTACGCTATGCAAATTTACGCAGCCCCAAGGCATTTCATGCCATTGGCTCGTGATTAAATACTCGAAGAGGATTGGCTTTCTATGCGAAACCGAGACGTTATGTGTTAATGCTTTCATAACAAATAATTTATCAGGAGCATTTATGCTGATGTGTATGGTGGCGACACGTAGGCTAACTTGAAAGTATTTGAAGGCACAGAAAAAAAAGTCTTTTTATGGGCGGGAGCGGGACAAAACATAAATGTTACGGGAGAAAGTAACACAGAAAGTAGTTGAGAACGTCAGTTATAATAATGACCCACGTATTAAAAAATGGTCGGGTTTATGTCGGCCTCAGGCTCATAATTACAGTTCATGTGTCAGCCGGACCGTGCTTGGACACAACAGGCTTGGGTAGGGTCGGCTTAACTTTTGGGCCACACTTACAGTTGAACACACTTAGTTATTTTCTGCTATTGGTATGAAAACTTTTTCTCTCAAACATGTTTTTTCTCTCAGATCATTTATTTTCTCACATGTAATAAAGACACAATCCTAGCTCCATAGACAATAACTTTATTATACAGCTTCCGTAAAGTCAAAATAATCTGTTAATTTAATATTCTATTATCACTGTAAAGCTGCTTTGAAACAATCTTGTTAAAAGCACTATATAAATGAAGGTGACTTGACTTGTCATACATCTCAACTCTGAAAATATGGACATCTGTATAAATATGGGAAAAAAAAATCCCATTCCTGCAAATGTTGTTTTGTCTCTTGTTCTGGCATTCCATAAGAGCAGATGCCACATTCTGTGACTAAATCATTTATTGTGATAGTATTTCATTAATTATTTAACAAACATTTACCTCAGTATCTCCAGCTGACAGTCTGGGCTCTTCAGTCCATCAGAAAGCAGCTTCACTCCTGAATCCTGCAGGTCATTGTTAGTCAGGTCCAGCTCTCTTAGGAAGGAGTTTGAGGATTGAAGAACTGAAGACAAACTCTTACAACACTGAGCAGTGAGATTGCAGCTATGTAGCCTGTAAAGAGAAGAAAACATCAGTAATGCAATAGTAATGTTTATTAGGTAGGGTTTATAATAATTTGGAAAAACATTTGACTGAAGGGATGTAAGCAAAAGGGATGCGCCGATATCACCGGAATCGGACAGATACTGCGCTCGTGTACTCATACTCCAAAAAATGATCCGATACCAAAAACCGATACCAGGAAGCATGTAACACTGCAGAATAAAGGCCCGTACACACCGGGACGAATATCAGCGTGCGTTATTCGTCAGTGCTTTTCAACGCGTTTTTTGTGTTCACACCCAAGCGATCAAAATCAACTGTGGTTCCCTACATTAATACTGATGTATCTAAATACCTACTGATGTTTTCGAGTCAAGAAGTTTCATGAAAGCAAACATCTAAAACGTGCGTCCTAAACAATGCGTCTCAGTGTTTTGCTGCTGTCTCTGACAGTTTGCAAATATTTAATTGATTCTCTGTCACGTCTAGTACGGACAAATTCATACAACATTATGTAAAACGCTTGTCTTGGTGAGTATCCTAGTAAACTTAGATGGTTTTATCTCAACTGCACGTAGACAGTATATTCAGATGGGATCTGTGCACTCGGTCATAAAGAGGCAGCAGTCTAATAAACCTGCTGCTGTGTTTTAATGTTATTCAAACAATAAAGGAAAAATAAATCATTCACTGCTCTAGACTGAAGCTCTTTTTAACTTTGTAAATATCATTCAAAATTCAATTTATACAGTGATGAATATTCAGTGTCATTTCACATTTGATCACTTAATTCAAATGTCTGTACCTGAAAACTACTGACCTACCTGAAAAAAAAACTATTTAATTGGTAGACTTTCTTTATTCTATTTGCGCTATTATTAATTTAATTGAAATTTTCTTATTTTCTTATTGACTGCTTGTCTTTAATAATGTTTTACATTTACATTAATTTGGCAAGTAGTTTTTGCTGTAGTATTAAAATCGTAATAGAGAATTGTGATATTTCACTGTTATCTATTTGAACCACTGACCCAATCCTCAGCACTGAAGCTGGAGCTGCTCTATATATATGATGTACTACTAAATGAAAGATACAATGTGATAGAACAATAGAAAGAACAGTGAGCGTAACAGAAGCTCATTCAGTACAATTTAACAGGCTTAAGCATGAAAATAACTGAAAGAAATATATATTTGTTGAAAAAATAAGCAAACTAATATGATTTTTATTCTTTTGGTTTCTCTTCTACCCAGTACATTTAAAAATTACATATGGGCTCTATGCACGGCGGTATTTCCGGTGAAGCATTAAGGATGCTCAATAACTTCCGCCGATCGTAGAATCCAATGCAATACCGAGAATTTATATTGAATTTTATACTCCATGGTTATAATAAAGAAACGTTAGTCACAAAAACAGATAAAACAGACACCCCTCGTTGTGTTTATGCTTCTTTTTAAAATTATATTAAATAAACATAACTATATATAAAATTACATCTAAACGTATGAACGTTTCGTTTCAAAGACGGGAGGACAGTAAATTTTAAAGACTCTGCCATAATCCCGTTTTCCTCGGTTTTCCTCCGCTTTAATCTCCACAACCGGAAACGGTTGATCATCCTTGCGTCAAATGCGGAACTTATGCGTGCATATAGCCCATTCAGTATCTGTCACAATTATGTTCTATCTTGTCTGGATCTGTTCTTGTTAGTCATTGATTAGTTAACCTTCATCCACTGTGTCTGGTGAGTTCCCTCGTTTACCCAGTGCTGAACTCTCCGTTCAGTTCAGTCCTAAGTCGGTTATTGTTCGTGTCTATTTTAACACACTGTTGGGTCCTGTTCCCCTGGTTGTGTACATTAAAGCTTTGTTTTCGTTTGGAATCAGGCTTCGTCTGTCTGCTTCATCAACCAGCATGACAGTATCTAGTGGTGGACAGATCAAGGCTTTGTGAAACACTAAAACAGTTATAGCAAATGTACCATATTGTGTCAAGGCTTCCAAACAATCCGACACCTGTCTCCACGGGGACCCACAGTGGTCAGAACAGTGTAAATGGAACAAAAACCCAGACCAAACATGCATAAAAACCCTTTTACAAATCTATTGCAAATGTTTTATTGAAAGTACAATCTTTTAAACGTAATTATCTAATCATTTAATAAGATTATCAATTGTATGTTCTTTTATCAATTGTTGGGGTTTGTTTTGTTAGTTCTATGAATGGCTGAGCTAAACAGGCCAATAAGACTATTAACTACCATTATTCATTTTAATTATACTAATGTCTAATTAAATAGTGTACAAATGTATAAAACTGATCGGAGATCAGGTAAAACCCAGAGACACTTGTTCAAAAGGTTCTCAGTGACTCCTCATGATCATGGGTAGACAGAGATCATCGCCCCCAGCGGTGAACCATTGACATTACGAAGTGTTTCGAAACAGTTATGATGTAATAACTCGTTTACTCGTTAACCATTGATTCGGAACAAACGATTTGTAAAGGCTTCGAAGCTTTGAAGTAGTGTTTAGAAATTGCCATCACTAACAGTATCGGTATTGGTACTCTGTATCTGCAAGTACCAAAAATGAAAGTATCTATGTATCTGACTTTTTCTGGAAAAAGTGGTATCGTGGATTTCAAGTAAGCAAATTTAAAAAATATTATCTTCTTTATAAAATAACCGGTATTTTCAGTTTTTTTAAAATACAATTTTATTTTTAATTTATTTATTTGCCTGATGAGTGTATTCAATGTATTCCAAGTATGTCCATGAGGCAAGTTGGGTCAGGCATTTAATATCAGAACACAAATTGATACATTTACTTTTTTAAATTTTTCAGAAAAGTTTCGCCCAGCAAATCACCTGTGTAAGATTAAGGCCCAATTAAAATCACTAACAGTCAGTGTGTATCAGTGATTGTAAAGTAGAATCTTACAGTGCTCTTCTGGTGTTTTTGATTACTGGCAGTAGTCTCATCACTGCTTCATCAGATCTTCTGTATTTCTGCAGTTCAAACTTCTCTTGAGCCTCTTCTGACATCAGGAGCACAAACACCAGACCAGACCACTGAGCAGAGGAGAGATTATGTTCTGAAAGATTTCCTGAGCTCAGGTATTTCTGGATTTCCCCCTCAAGGTCATCTTTCAGTTCACTCAGACAGTGGAAGAGATTGATGGTCCTCTCTACTGATTCCTCCTTCTCCATTGTCTGTTTGATATAGTCAACAGTGTCTTTAACGTTCTCTGATTTGAGTTCCAGTTTTGGCAGTAGTTCCTTCAGGTCACTCTGATTGGACTCCAGTGAGAGACCCAGGAGAAACCGAAGGAAAAGGTCCAGGTGTCCGTTCTTGCTTTCTAAAGCCTTGTTGATTGCAGCCTTATGAAGCTGAAACAGTGGCTTTTTGGAGAGTTTCTCTGTCATTTTTTGCCAGAATGGAAAAAATGGGTTTGCTTTCTTGTCTTTGTTGTTAAAAAACACATAAAGAGCTGCAAGGAATTCTTGTACGCTGAGATGTACGAAGCTGTAAACACTTCTGGCTGAAACCTTTTCCTTCTGAAAGATCTGAGTGCATAACCCAGAGAACACTGACCCTTCACTGACATCGAGTCCACACTTCTCAAGATCTTCTTTGTAGAAAATCAGGTTTCCTTTCTCCAGCTGTTGAAAGGCCAGTTTCCCAAGCTTCAGAATAATCTCATCAAAAGACCTGACTTTGGCTTTAGGTTGTGGCACAGCACAGTATTTTTCTTCCATCTTTTGCATCTGAGAAATTAAGAAGCTTATGTACATCCCTGTGAGAGTTGTGGGAGTTTTGTCATTGGTCTTTTGAGTCTGAAGAACAGTGAGAGAGATCCAGCAGAAGACGGGGATATGGCACATGATGTACAGACTCCTGAATTTCTTGATGTGACTGATGATATTTCTAGCAACCTCAGAACTGCTGTTTTTGATGAAGTATTGCTCTTTCTGCTCATCATTAAATCCTCGCACCTCTGTCACCTGATCAATGTAGTCACGGGGAATCAGACTGGCTGCTGCTGGTCTGGAAGTGATCCAGATGAGAGCAGAGGGAACCAGATGTCTCTTTATAAGACTTGTAACTATCTTACTCACTGTTGTTTTTTTGTGAACATCTGTAAATCTGCCACCATCTGTAAAGCTCAAAGGGAAGCGCCATTCATCCAGTCCATCAAAAATGAACAAGACCTTCCTGTCACCTTTAGGAAGAGAGGGCAGTTCCTTATCATCACTAAAGAAGTGTTCGTGCAGCAGTTCCATGAGGCTGCAGTCCTCTGTAATCAGGTTTAGCTCACGGAATGGAAGAGGAAAAATTAAGGTTATATCCTGATTTTCTTTTCCATCAACCCAGTCGAGGATGAATTTATAGACAGAGACAGTTTTTCCCACCCCTGCGATCCCCATCGTCAGTACCTTTGAGTTTTGTTTAAACATGTCATTACACTTGACTTGAGTCTCCTTGGCAGTCGGTCGGTTGTGAGATTCGATCTGTATCACCTCGTGCTCATTCACTCTTCCTCCAGTCTCATTCTCCACCACATATAAATCAGTGTAAATATCATTCAGGTTTTTCTGATGACCCGTCTGTGAATTACCAACCAATATCCGCCTGTAGTCCAGTTTTAATTTGTCTTTCAGTCTGCAGCTGGCCTCTGTGTAATCATGAAGAGTAGCTTGTCTGTTATCTGCAGCTGAGCCTTTAAAAAAAGAGAAGAAAAGACAGCAAAGACTAAATGATCATGTTTTTCATAAATTCTTAATAAAACCTATGTGCAATTTGTAACCTGGTCTGTAGTTCCCATTACACAAATAACTACAGCATGTAGTGAATTTCTGCTATATTCAAATGAATCACACTTATACTGCAATTGTGTTCACATGCTCATCTTACTCTGATTTAGGGGTGACCCCGAACAGTTGAAGATTCGATGCTTCGATACGAGGAGCCAGATTCGACTACCAATCTCACGGTCGAATCTTTGCAGAGGTGTAATGAAACGAGGATCGGATCATGCCACTTTGGGTATATGAGTGTGCTCAATGTCTGATTTCACATAGAACTACCGGTTTTCTGTCATATACAGCCTATTGTGATAATGCTGTAAATAAAAATGTAAATGCAAAGAAAGAAGCTCTTTAGCGTGCGTGAATTAATCCAACCACCCCTGTGACCAATTTAAGTTTCACTTTCGATCAGTGACCGACAGAGGAGCGTCTTGTCGGCAGAGATTTAAATCTTTAAAAATGTCTGGGATAAGAAAATATAAAGTGTGGATGCACACCATCAGAAAGGATATTCTCCAAGGCTGGATTTAGCATCAGGAAACCATGTTTGCACTTCTGCCAATGTTAAGAAGTTGGTTTTCCTCAGGACATTCTAAAACGCTTAACGTGAAAAAAGCTTTTAAAATGCTTAAAGGGCACTCTTATGCATGTACACACCTTATTAAGAAACCAAACTATGTGCAGATAAGCAGATGAACCCAGAATATGAACGCAATGCGTTTCTCCTATAGAAAGTCACGTAGCGTTATCTTTATAATAATGGTTTTCTAAGAAAACGAGAAAAATGCTTAACGTGTAATTAAACGTGTTGCGTTCATATTCTGGGCTCATCTGCTTTTCTGTAGACTATATAGTATGCTTTATTAATAAGGTGTGTACAGAATTTGATCTTTAAATATAACTGTCTCATGCTACATTCACACCAGACGCGAATAGAGCGTCAAATTTGTGCCTACCGCATCTAGTTATACGCTTGATACGCTAGTTATACGCTTCTTATGCATTAAACTATGCTGGTTGAGCGTCTGGCACATTATGTGCAAACGATTTTATTTTTTTGCTTTTTGTGCATTCAAGCGCTTGTGACGCGAATTCGCGCCTGCCGCTCGAGTTGAAAATTTTTCATTTTGCGTCAATTCGCACTGCGTTAACCAATCAGGAGCCTGCTTGCTGCAATCACATGGTAAAGTGACGTGATAAATGGGGACAGGCCCGCTTTTCAGTTTATAATATTATTTTATATGTTTGGCCTCAATAAGTTATTTTATACGTTTGGCCTCAATAGATTATTTTGTATGTTTGGCCTCAATAACTTATTTTGTAATTTGACAATGCCTGGTGAGGTTCTAATGCACAACAAAGCAAATATTTTATCACATAATTTGATTTCAATATATGAGACATATTCATTTTGTATTGAATGCAATTTTTTCTGTTTCTTATTACTTGAAACATTATTATTCTAATGTAAAGACAACTAACATGCTCTCTAGAGCAAATACAGAGCGGTGACTCTCGATGAATGCTCAAATCAACATCTTGTAAAAAAGATGGCCAACGGGTTTCGGATTTCGCTCTTGACGCGCGAATGTATTTAAACTGTTCAAGCGTATAACTAGACGCGGTAGGTGCGAATCTGACGCTCTATTCGCGGCTGGTGTGAACGCACATTAAGCCATTAAACGTTTTTCACGTTAAGCGTCTTAGAATGTATTTTATCCGCGCGCTCAATTTGAAAAGACTCAAACGGACACAGGCCGAGTGAAAGACTGGGTTTGTTTCTCGATCAGGTATGGGTACAAGTGATTTCAAAACATTTCAGCCGGATTAATCTAACTTTCAAGCGAGGAACCATTAGCACATTGGTTACTGCCTTGAATTATATGCATGGCACACTTTTAGATATGAATTGTTAAACTATACTTTGTCACGAAATGGAGTTTTTAAAAGTGAAAGGCTCAGAGAGATACTTATTTAGTAACACACTACTAAGGCTATCTCTTAAACAATTTCGAACAGCTCTCATATTAACAACTATCCAAACTGTTATAGACCTAAAATAGCTTTTGTAGCCCTATGTTACTCTTAAATGACAGAGAAAAGGACAGAATCAGAGATTATTTCGAAAATAGAAAATTGTACTTTGCATATTATAGGCTACTGTAAAAACACATAGGCTAGGCTAATTAAAGTTGATTTTAGTTGATTATGAAAATTATTTTCATTTCATGAATACAGTGACCAAAATGATCACATACACAGAATCTTGTTCAAAAAGCCTAATACACAATGAAATTAATTCACGAAGTTAATAACATTAAAGATTGGTTTTAAAGGAGTGTCTTTTATCTTACCTACTAAACTTTAAAAAAAGTTAACACAAAAAAGGTTTTATAAAAAGATAAACCTCATATTTCTGCATTTAAATCATCTCTATAAAAAGAATGAGTCAATAAAGATACATTCCTGACATTTATAATGCACAGTAGCTTATCTTTTATTATTAATAGTAAAATTCGGTTTTTACTATTATTAATAGTAAATTTTTCCCATGGCTGTCGCTGCTATTCAACCATGCACTGAGCTCTCCACAACGACAAAGAAGTTTTAGTAGCTAATGTATTTCCCACCACAGAAAAACGCTTGCTGTAGCTCTGCTAAAAGATTTCTTTACGGAGAAGAGAAAAACACCCAAGTGTTTGGGTGCACGTGCACTCCCATACTGAAAAGTTTATGAATGCGCTTCCCGTGAGCGCATAATGAGCGCGCTTCCCGTGAGTGCATAGGCTACGTTCACACTGCAGGGCTTAATGCTCAATTCCGATTTTTTGAAAAAATTTGATTTTTTTGCAAGGCCGTTCACATTTCCAATTAAACTGTCCTTTTGTGATCTCCAGTGTGAACATGAACGTGAACGTGAAATGACCCAGAAGTGACTCGCATGCGCAGAAGAGTACTCGACGGTCAACGACGTAACTTGTTGTTTGCGGAAGTAGCTAAATGGATGTCTTAAAGTGGAGCTCGTTTAGCAATATTAAAGTTATTTTCACAACAGAGCTAGCACATATACAATCTTCTCGTTTTAAGAAGAAAATTAAACAGAGAAACGTGTGGGTGTGGAGTCGCAGCCAGGAGTGGATACTGATGTGAGTGGCTTCACTGATACAGAATTCATCAGTATCTGTGTCGTTCAGACTGTCATGAAAAGATCAGATACAGGTCGCATAGGGGCAAAAAAAATCGGAATTAGGTCGTTTCAGCCTGCAGTGTGAACGTAGCCATAATGAGCATGCTTCCTGTGCGCCTATTTGAAATAACAACCTCGAGCGCGCAAAAGACACCCCCTTGACGTCGCTTCTGTGCATGGCACCTTCTCAGCAAGCAGGGGCGCCATTGCCAATAATTGAATCGAAATGATAAAAAATAGAAAACCTTCGCGGCACAGAGGATTTTTTTAACTGCTCGTGCCGCCCCCCATGTGACATGAAGAAATGTCGCCCGTGCCTAGAACCGCTACTGGCGTTTATTGTTGTTTCTGCAGTTAAAAAGAATTTTATTTATTGATCACTCAGAGTTATCTAATTTAACTATTTGTGGCTTGTGTTTTGAATATATGTTCCCTTGTACTTCAGGCATTTTGCACACATTTGTTCTGTATCTTGTGACTTGATTCTGACTTATTTCATTCTGTATTTATTTATTAGAATGGTATATTCTGTTCTAATTTAATTCTGTAAATTAATTGTTTATTTTTTCGGTGCATCAATGTTGCGCTCTGTACTTACAGCCTGCTCATACAGGCAATTTAGCCGATTTAATTGATTGTATGTGAAACGCAAATCATGTCTGCACTGTGGCCTTTCTGCAGTTATTTATGTTATTTCTTAGTTTTATTGATCAAAATGTTTTTATACATTTTCTTCTATATCTTTGTGTGATGTTCTGTACATTGTGGCTTTAAAATGTTAAAGATCCGCCCCTACCCCCACACACGATTCGACTATTAGTCGACTATAGGCAGGTATTGACTACTTGACGATTCTGATTCGACTATGAAAATCCTTAGTCGGGCACTCCTACACTGATTATGCATATGGTGATGGAAACACATTGACTAATGCTTACTTGAATGCAAGTGGTTTTAATTTTAACATTTCTAAATAACTTTCTTTTTTCTTATTTCTTCCAGAGTATTTATTGGATTGTCACTATTGGAATAAGATCAACTTTAGATGATGCATTAATTAAAAGCTTAAACATTGATACCTAGACATTAGACTTTATTAGGGTTAGGTAGGGGTTATTGAAATGAGCCTTCGCATGTACAAGTTGCTTGCAGAAGTTTTGCAGAAGGTTTTTAGTAGGGTTGCACGATATCGAAAAATTATCGTTATCGCGATAATAGTATATGCGATATCCGTATCGCAGAGAGGTGCGATAAATTACATTTATTTTATGTGCTAAGCATTTGTGTGTTGCATGCATGCATAGGTTGTTTATCCAAAATCGACCAATCAAATGGGGCCTTACTATCTTTATACCTGCTTCCCCAGTAGATGCTATTATGCTATTGCTATGGTGGGAGTAGAGACAAATGAGGAAAATGACAACAGTGAAGAACCTGTCCCTAAAAAGAACTATACGTCTGAAATATAGCAATATTTTGGCTTCAATAGAGAAGAAGTGTCACAAATGCAGGAACTGTGTAAGGGGCCGTTCACATATCGCATCTAAAAATGCCTAGAAAGCGCAGCCGCATCGATATCTCCTTCTTTCCACAAGCGCTTGCGTCTGTCGTTGCTATGCAACCATGAACTGCGCCGAGGGCTTTCCATGATGACGAACAAGTATCAGCAAAAGATTAATGGATTTCTACCCCTTGCATTAGCTTTACTTCTAGATATATTTATGGAGATGGTCGTGGAAAAATGTGCTTCCATTTTGAGGGTGTTTGCCGCACGCCTGCACTTGAAATAACAAATTTGCAAGCACAAAAAAAACGCTATGTGAACGTATGTGACAGTGTCACCAAGTCGTGTGAAAAAAATTGTGGCCACTTCGAGAGGAAATGAATCTCCACAGTCATCTGAAACGCAACCTCAGGGAGCTATATGAAGACACTTATTCAAAAAGTGTAAACCCACAAAAGTGTCTACCAAAACTGCTAACGAAATGCCAAGTAACAACAACAGAGATATTCTACTGAAGATCACAAGAATATCTTTTAAGGCTACCTGTTTATTTCAATATCATCATTACATATATATATATATATATATATATATATATATATATATATATATATATATATATATTTTTTTTTAAAGGCTTAGTAAAAATAGCATTTCTTTGGTAAATGTTATATCGCAAGAAATATCGTTATTGCAATACTCAACAATATTGCATATTTTCCCAGTATCGTGCAGCCCTAGTTTTTAGAACATTGTAAAATCAGACATTGTTCTATTAAATATACCTGTATACAATCTACTGCTATTCTTCTTGGCCCTTTAATTGTTGCTTGCTGCTATATTTCCTTGTTTCCATGTACAGGCGATGATTGTTATTTACACCAAATCTTTTTTGAAAGAGCTCCAACAGCGGAAGATATTGCCTGTCACTTACATTGAAGTCACAATAAATTAAACATTACCTGGCTTGCATTTGTTCACCAGCTGCTCAGCCAGATCATTCTGGGTTATCTTCCTCAGGATCTCCACTGTAATCTTAACAGCTTCTTCTGGTCCGAAACACTCCACCATCTTATCTACAGTTTTCAACCTATCTGCATTCTCCATTTCAGACTTTGATATACACTCATGATCATTCTCTAAATTCCACTGAAACTCCTTTAGATGATCTTCTGTCAGGTCCTTCAGCGAGTTTAGAAGTTGCTCTTTAACAGACGCCATCGCCACTCACAGATTCACAGCTGCAAGATAAAAAGAAAAATATCTGAAGTAGTTTCACTCCTAACATTTGGATCTAAGCACTCAAATGTTATTTGGATTATGAAATGAAGCTGTGATTGAATCTGGACTCTCATTGAACTCATGCAAACTTTTTTGTTGAAGAAGTTCTATAAGTCCTATAATGCTCTTTTTTACAAGATAACATAATAACACAAGATAATAGTAGTCTCGGGTGTCGCATGGAATGGTTCTGTGAAGTTTCAGCTCAAAATACCCCAGGTCAATTATTATGCTCTTCTGTAAATGACCATATTTGAGTGGAAGCAAAATTATGATGTTTTTGTGTGTGTCTCCTTAAATACAAATGAGCTACTGCTCCCCACCCCTTTTTCCAGAAGTGGGCAGAGCAATAAACAAATCATCTGTTTGGTCTTGATCATCATCTCTGTCGTGGTCATAATGAAATGTTTGTTCTTTCCATTTGATTAAAAAAGCCTTGGCAATTTAAGCTTCTGATATATGGTTTTCTGAGCGCAAATTCACAAAACCACAATTGGTTATGTCTCTGAACATAATCAGCTGGGAATTAAATCACATATCAGTAGATTAGATCTGTGAAACAGCATTTCTTGGACTCTGCAACAACACACTACTAATGCAACTCAAGGCCCTGTATACCTTGGGCGGGAATTATTTAAATGAGGATGTGATGAGGTTTAAGGGAGTTCAGAAACAGTCCACACTGATATAGAGAATAACTCCAGCTGGTTCACAGCATTTCTGAGCGTTTTCCCTGTTTCTACACTAAAAAAAAAAAAGATTTTTTTTTATTTTTGATGTCGGTTGATAATGTGTTATTACGACAGAATGCACGATTGTAAGCCTAAATGAGATGGCCGCGCCATAAACTGTATTAAACAGCATAAACAGCATAAAACGAACAGGTAACTGTTAACTTAACTCATCTATCCATTTGCATCAGTGTTGTTAGAAAATATATTAGCCAACAGTTGTATTATATTGGTTGAACGTTATGTATTTATGGCCTGATTGCTCTATTTTAAGCCTAGATGGCCGCGCCATCAACTGAATTAAACGGCAAACAAACAGGTAACTTTTTCGTCCATTTGCATCAGTCTGATTAGAAACAATTTTAACAACTGTTTTATTATGACAACTGATACGGATGAATTTATGACACAATCCACGATTTTATGCCTGAAAGAGATCACCGTGCCATTAACGGAATTAAACATCAAACGAAAATGTATGTGTCTAAGTTTGCACATGTTTATTAGTTTAATCATCTATATTTGCACTCTGTTCATTTTCATGGCATCGATCAAAGATATTATAACAATGTTGTGTTGTGTGGTTGATGGTTCAGTGCGTTTTTAAAGCATTAAAGGGTTAGTTCACCCAAAAATGAAAATTCTGTCAGTATTTACTCACCCTCATGTTGTTCCAACCCCGTAAGATCTTCGTTCATCTTCGCAACACAAATTAAGATATTTAAGATATTAAGATCACTCCTGCATACTAATCCATAGGCTTCTTAAGGGAATGACAATTGATGGCCTCGAAAAGTCATTAAGGACATAGTTAAAATAGTCCAAGTGACTACAGTGGCTCAATTTTAACTTTATCAAACGACGAGAATACTTTTTGTGCGCAAAAACAAACAAAAATAACGACTTTATTTAAACTATTCCCAGGTATGTCCCATCTATTTGCATTGGTGTTATTAAAAACAATATTAGCCAACTGCTTTATTATGTAGGTTTATACTAATGTATTTATGACAGAATTTTTTTTATGCCTGAAAGAGATCACCACGCAAACAACTCAAATCAAACCTCAAACAAACAGGACAATATTTTTTGTATAACAATACATTTTATAGTACATTAGTAATTAATGTACTTTTTTTCTGTTTATAGGATGTTGATTTTTCCAACACTGAAGCTGCACTCAAAGAAATGGCGTTCTTGTCATCAGATGTGAAGGATGTGAAGTTGGTGATGAACCAGCAGGTGTTGGAGTAGTTCTTGAAGGAGTTACAGCACTAGAAAGGGCTTGGTAATGTAGATAATGGTGTCGCATTGCTGATTGGGCTTATTTATACCCTAAATCTTAGTTATCCGAAGGAGTCTCGATACACCTTTGAACTCCTGCAAAAAGTGTTCCTGGAGCTTGATGGACACAAACTCCCCAACAAAGTTCAAGCCCTCAAGACCAAGCTTTTTACACCTCATTAAAGGACGGATGAACACCCTGATCTTTACCTTGAAACTGTTTTCCTTAAAAATTACATTTGTCCTTAAAGAGCATATTGCAGATAAAAAAGATCAAAATTAATAGATAACCTTGTATGAAAATACCATATGAAAAGTTAATGCAGGATTTAAAATGTATTAAAACAACATAAGGGCACTAATTTAGAAGATAAAGTGAGAGTTTCTTGGACTGCTAGTAAAAACGGCTTTTTTTCAACATCGCGTCATTTGACTGTAAGATGGCGCCTTTGTTTGGCATGGCCGTTGCTGCGTCCCATTTATGTTGTTTTTATTTGTTTGTGTATGTCTCTTTTATTGTCACATTAACCCTGCCTTTAAACCACTGTGTCACCGCTGTTCTGAAATACGATCGTGTCATCCTGATGAACATTGGAGTGTATATAGAAGGACTCAGTAACAGCTGGGAGAGTTACAGTCAAACTTTTCCACCCCCGCTGGTGTGCATACCCAGCCTATTTGATTGCCGTTTTTTGCTTCGGGGTCATGGAAATCCAAAAAAGAGATGAAGGAAAAGGGGTTGCAGAGCTGGCGTTCAGGTCGCAATGAGGCTGTCTTCAGCGGTGCGGCGGCCGCTGACGGTTTTTCCTCGGGATATAGGTGCCGGGGGCGGTCTGTCGCAGGGTTGTTGCCTTCAGCTTTTTCCTTGTTTGAGTCACAGATGATTAAGGTCGGTTCTGTTAACATATTTTATTGTGTGTTAATTTACCGTCCTCCTGGCCCTGCAGGTATCTTCCTTACTGATTTTACTGATTTATTAACCTCTATAATCAAGCTGGAGAAAGTTTTAATTATTGGAGATTTTAATCTTCATATTGATGATATGTCATGTATTGCAGCTACAGATCTCCTATCTATCACTGACTCATTTAACTTTACGCAATATGTTTCAGGCCCTACTCACTTAAAGGGGCACACCCTGGACCTTGTTTTCTCATTAGGTCTTGAAATAGTAAATGTGAGTGTGGAGGATGTCCATGTGAGTGACCATAGTTGTGTTTTCTTTAACTTAAACTTACCACGGGACCCCCCGCCTCTGAGAATTAAGGCTCAGAGGAGAGTTTTTAACCAAGATGTTGCTGGGAAGTTTTCTACATTGTTTGATCCATGCCAGCTAACAGGTTGTAGTGATGTAAATGTGTTTGTGGAGTCTTTTAACAGCCAATGCTTAACAATTCTAGATGAAGTGGCTCCTATGAAATCAAACATTGTGTCAGTTAAAAAGCCCTGCCCGTGGATTAATTCATCTATTCAGAGCCTTAGAAGTAAACGTCGGAAAATAGAGCGCTTATGGAAAACAACTAAACTCGAAGTTCACAGGCTCTACCTTAGGGAATTAACCGCTTCTCTAAACGAACTTCTGAAGAATGCTAGAACTAACTACTTCTCTCAGCTAATATCCTCTAACAAGAAAAACCCCAAATTCTTATTTGATTCTATTAACTCTATTGTTTCTCCATCTGTTTCTCCAATTGCGGTGCTCTCTCTGTCAAATAGTAATGTATTCCTTAACTTCTTTGTTGAGAAAATGAAGGATATCAGAGCTAGCATTTTACCACCTCCTGCATACAAGGCCTGTACTTTGGCTCTTTCCTATTCGTGTTTCTCTTTTAAACTTGTATCATTTAACTTAAATCTTTAAGGGGGAAGTGTTACGTACTCGTACGTATTTAAGTGTTGCAATATGGATGTGGGTGTGTTGTTGTTGTTGTTGTAGTGTGTGTTTCAGGTGTCCGTTGGATCAATCTGCTGTCAGTCTCCATTCTGACGGTGACGTTTTGGTCCGCCTCCTCCAATCACATCTCATCACTGCAGTTAAAGACCGCGCTCACTCAAATGTTGAACAGCTGTTTGCTCACTTTTGTTTGTTCGCTTGTTTGATTTACTTTCAATGAGTTTCTGTGTGTGTGTGTGTGTGTGTGTGTGTGTGTGTGTCTAACATTTTAGTTGCTGTTTATTGTTGCTTAGTGTTTTGAAATTATAATGTCAACCTGATGGCTTTACACGGAGTGTGTAAAGCTGGGAAGAGAGCAGGTTAGTAGGTCGCGCGACATAAACTTTGCACTTAGGATATTGTTGATTGTGTTAGACACACTAGTTTAGGAGAATGCCCACTTTGTAAGTTTTGTTATGTAGTTAGTATAGTTTTAGTTAGAACGTCTTGATGCCGAAGATTATTACTTTCTACATTTGTGTTTGGTAGTTAGTTTAGTTAAATTTAACCTTTAGATAATTCGTTTTGTTTTATTGATTTCTTTGATTTGGGTATCTCTCGTGCTCACTTTCCCACTTTAAGTATTTGTTAAATTTTATGTTTGTTATTGTTCTTATATTGTTTGTACCTGTAGCAAACACATTTTCTTAAAAATGGCAATGAGGATTAATAAATCCTTTTTGAGCTGAGTTCTGTCGAGTACGTTTTATTATTCTTGTTCTGTCCGGCACTTTGAAGATGCACACACTATTTTTATAAATGTTGCTTCCTTAATCCCTAGAAAAATAACAGAGGGACGTAACAGTAGGCTATTAACTGCAGTGGGAGTTTACATTAGTTTCCAGCATGTTGAGTGATGCTTTCGCCAGTGCGTTGAAAGTCTCCGTGTGGCCGGTAGTGAATGCTCGCTCTTGAGATCTAGCACGCACAAGCACACGAGCACTCTTGTTGCATTCTGAAACGTCACCGCTAGAGGCCGCTAAAAAATCAGT